ACAGATTAAAAGGATCTACAGATAACCTCCTCCCTGGGGGACGGACAACAGAAAAGTGGATGAAGGGAGACGTCAAACAGTGTAAGATGTGACAAAATAGTAATTTATAAATTATCAAAGGTTCACAAGGGAGGGAGGAGCGGGGAGGGAGGGGGAAACAATGAGGAGCTGATGCCAAGGGCTCAAGTAGAAAACAAATGTGTTGAGAATGATGACGGCAACAAATGTACAAATGTGCTTGACCCAGTGGATGTATGTATGGGTTGTGATAAGAGTTGTACGAGCTCCCAATAAAATGATTAAAAAAATTTTTTTTACACATATAGTTTCTATGTAAAAAAGAAAAAATAATTTTATGGTCGGGGGTCACCACAACCTGAGGAACTGTATTACAGAGCCGCAGCATGAGGAAGGTTGAGAACCACTGGTAGCCAGAGATGAGGAAAGTGGGGTGAATGTTCCGATGAAAGACTGGAGGCTGTCAGCATCAGGCCTTTATCTGTGGGTGTTGCTTTACTTTAGTTTTATTTCAGCAAACATGATCGTGAACTTCCCCGGCTCTCCTGCAGCATGCCTTCTGCCTAACTCGGCTGTCTTAGAAGTGAGGGGTTTTCTGCCAGCAGGTGACCAGAGACAGATTGTCCATTCGTTTGCTCACTCTCAGACACTCAGAAATCCCCTCCACGTACAATCGATTCCAACCCTTAGCCACCCTGTAGAACAGAGCAGTAACGCCCCTGGGCTCCCGAGCCTATCGATCTTCACGTAAGCAAAGGGCCCCCTCTTCCTGTGGACGCTGCTTGAACCCCTGAGCTTGTGGTTGGCAGCTTTACCCCTGAGCCCCCAGGGCTCCTCCCGCAAAGATGCTGGCTTAGGACACCTGTGGGGCACTTCTCTACATCAGTCACCTTGGTGGCACCAGCGATGGCAGACCTGCTGTTCCTTCCGTCTCCAGCTCCCAGCCGCGTTCTTCTCAGGACATTGCAAGCACTTGCTGCTTCAGGACATTTAAAGGAGGCTCGGGTTTCCATGGGAGAAACCCTTAAAGCAAGAGCTGGGAACATCCAGCCCACAGGCCGCATTAAAACCACCAACCCAAACCAGGCTCACTGCCATTGAGGGGAATCCAACTCTCAGTGACCGGACAGGACAGGGTAGGACTGCCCCTGGGGGGTTCGAGGCGGTAACTGTTTCTGGGAGTTGAAAGCCTCGTCTTAGACCAGCTCTGGTCACAGGTTTTGCCAAGAGAAGCTGTTCTGGCCAGCACATTCTCAAAAATCAAGCTCACCGCCATTGAG